AATGCTGCACTCAAAAATATTATTGTTAAATGACTGTGGTTTGTAAATCTCACTCTCACTCACTCACTCACTCACTCACTCACTCACTCACTCACTCACTCACTCACTCACTCACTCACTCACTGTTTAATGGATTGGGTGGTCTAACTTGGTGACTTGTTGATAGCATGTCTACTATGAAACTGAAATATTCGTGAATGTGTGGTAAAACCACAACATTCTAACTATTCCTGTTTATTGGACTGGGTGGTCTAACTTGGGGACTTACTAACAACACATCCACTGTGTAGCTGGAATATTCCTGAATGTGTGGTAAAACCACAACATTCTAACTATTCCTGTTTATTGGACTGGGTGGTCTAACTTGGGGACTTACTAACAACACATCCACTGTGTAACTGAAATATTCCTGAATGCGCTGCAAGACAGCAAACGCTTTAACTGTTATTGTCTATTTTTATGTATATGATAAGAAAAATAACCACTACCAAAATAAATAATTCATGCAATACTTCCCAAGAGACATAACAGATAACTATTGAAAGCAAACATATCAAAATGTCAAAACAATGATGAAGTGATTTCTCAAAAAATAATGTTTGGATTGAGAGCATTGTGATATTAACTGAAAGAAATGATGGACTCATCATCAGAAGATTTCCCAGAGGAAATAATATCAATTTCTCCTCTAAAGAATAAATTACAGATATTTTTAAATTTAAATACATGGATTTAGTTGACTTATTCCCAGCAAACCAAAGTTTAAGATGACACCTAAAATGACATAAGCTGGTTTCATTATTTTGAGTTGGCTTCTTTTCTGTTTTCATGTCCATTCCACATGTTTGCTTACAGCCAAGGATGGTCTCAATGTTCTTTCAGAATTTTAGTTTCATGTGGAAATCAGTTCCGGCAACTGGACAAATTTCGCAAGAGAAGATTTCATTCCTCTGTGATTCCAAACCAATTATTCATCTCATTTTTCAGATTTGTTTAAAAATGGTAATACAGTACAACAAAAACAGTTATTATGAAGATTAACTTGAGGTTGATTTACTAAAAACAAAAGTGAAATAGAAGTTTAACAAACCAAACTGAGTTCAAACAAATATTCTTTTCAAACTTTGTGGCAGAATTTCTTCATAAGATAAACATGTTAAGACCTGAATGATACATTATCTTTATGTATTTCCACAATCCTTTAAATGTATTCATGACTAAATGCAATAAGACGTCAGCGCTCTAACTCATATCAGGATAGATATGCACACAAAGGAATTTATGAATCTCAATAGCGATAAATGTTTGGTAGTGGAGGCAATATAATGGTCCTACATTCCACCGGCTTCTAGAACTATGTAGGATTATAGCAATAGGCGACTTCAGAGCTGCTTTGATGAAATACCCAGATGAAACAAACAGCCTCGAAAGGGTCATAGCTCAAGCTGCAGCTGACATGTCGGGGACAGCAACCCTATTTGTTAGAACTCTTGGTGCTGGTCTAGAAGGAACTTCAGTTGATGGGTCGAACTCTGATGATGTCCAAGAAGGGGCACTGTGGAGTGCAGGCCATTGATGGTTATCCTGGGATGTGATAGAAGTTTGGATGATTTATTGGAGGTCAAGTACTCTGTGGTCTTTCAATGATCCTCTTCATGATATCCACACTGTGATGTTTGGGATTTGAGAAGACTGGTCAACTGTGATGACAGAATGTGTTCAAATTGATTTTGATTGTGATATTCAGTTATTTTTGTAATGATTTTTTGTGGGTTTGAGTTTTGGCTGTTTTGGTAATATCTCAGGAGCCTTGACAAAATAGACACAGGTCCAAATCAGAAGACGACTATCTGAGACATTCATGTGACATTTAGCATTTGTCTTGTGACCACTTGTACCTTGTAGTGTTGGGAATTGGTGTAAATCTCATAATTGATGATTGGTTCATTACAACTGATCAATCATCGAAAATAATTGGTTAGCGTCATTTATCAAATTTTCCTGGTTATGTTTGTTAATGCACAAAAAATAAAGAAAAAACATGTAGTTCTCTCGTTTTTGTTCGCAAATTGCACAAAATGCATTTGCAAATTTCACATCTTTAAAGGATGACTAGTTTGTTAGGAACATGCATTTCCTGGAGTTGTTAAGATAAATTTAATCATGACTTGGAATGAGCTTGTAGTGCTTATGCAATGTAGAGACAAAATCAACCTTTTGAAAAATATTGTTATTCCAAACAAGTGTTCCCAAATTGTTTGTGTTCGATTATGAGAAAACATGATCGATTGCTTGGTCGTTTTGTCATTGCGACCAATCTTCGATTATTTCAATTAATCGGACCACCACTAGTACCTTGTGTTGAATCTTTCATTAAATGTCACATACATACATACTAACATTTGTATAGCGCCGATATCCAGCTCAGCTGCTCACAGGCGCCTTGTTTTTTCCCTCGATCACTGGATGTCAATCTCAATGGCACGTCGTATCATCAATCTCAACTCCCTGGGGATCATACAACACTTGCAGCCACTAGGTGCACCAATTTAGTGTGGCTTTCCCATCCTTACGAGGTACCCATTCACAGCACTTTGTCCAAGTTTTACTGCACGTTGCAACTAGGTGTTTGCACGTATTCATGTGGCCACCTTCTGGTCATTTAGCAACGGATTGGTGGGTTCTTTTAAGAGCACAGGGTTGTGTACTGTATACTAGGAGTTGTGACAACACTGAAAGAGTCTGCACACAAAGTTGACTCCAAGGTTTTTACACCTGGTCACAGGTGGGCTCGATCCCGGCAACTCAAGCTCGCTGGATCACTAATCTGGCGCCTTAGCCAGCAAGCCCACCACCACATTGTCTTGTGTCTCTGTTTGTCCTATTGACACCCCAGTCTAATCTTTTCATCCAGTATCACATATTGTTGCACGTTGCAACTAGGTGTTTGCACGTATTCATGTGGCCACCTTCTGGTCATTTAGCAACGGATTGGTGGGTTCTTTTAAGAGCACAGGGTTGTGTACTGTATATTAGGAGTTGTGACAACACTGAAAGAGTCTGCACACAAAGTTGACTCCAAGGTTTTTACACCTGGTCACAGGTGGGCTCGATCCCGGCAACTCAAGCTCGCTGGATCACTAATCTGGCGCCTTAGCCAGCAAGCCCACCACCACATTGTCTTGTGTCTCTGTTTGTCCTATTGACACCCCAGTCTAATCTTTTCATCCAGTATCACATATTGTGAATATAGAACCCAAACCACTACACTCTCTCTAGACACAGTCAATTTGGGTAGGAACACTTAAGTAACATGTTGCTTGTTCAGAGAAGATACACAAAAGCTTTGCATGCCATTCAGTTGTCTGCAAAGACGACCAGGAGATGGCCAAATTAGCAGTAGATACACTTCCTGATTGGCAGTCCCTGAGGCCGACCTTAATTGCCAACTTGATCACGACCAATTTCCAGCCCATTACTCCAATGTAAACTAACTATTGTAAAGTTGCAGCAGAAGTTCCTTTGAGAAGGGTTTCACTGCGATTGTTTGAAATATAACTGTTTTGCTTTTGCCTTTGGTAATTATTCTTTGTGTTTCAATCATGTCTCTTGATACAACAAAGAAGCCATGATCCATCATTTGTTGGCAAGATGAAACTTTCCAGATGTAAAAAAAAATATCATTTCCTCGCAAACTATTGAAGAGCTGTTGAAACAATTGGGCTGTTGAAAGTATTGTTGGTTTTTATCCTAATTGTATTACTGAGCTGTGTAATGGCCAAAGTACATGTTGGTGGTCTGGGATTATTTGTGTGGATTTTGTCTAATAAAGCTCCTGTTTTTCATTTTTCTGTTCTGGCTTTTTAACTGTAATGTGATTATAATTTTGTCTGTGGACCTTTTATTGTAAATGCTGAACCTCAAGAGAATTTACTGGTGAAAGTATGTGATATCACCATTTCAGTGGCATAAAATAACCAACAGTGGTTGGACATGGGACTGTAGATTTGACATGTAGAATGTGTGTTAAAGGATGTGGGTTGGAGTAAATGTTTTGTCAGTTGTAAGATGTTTTTTTGTGCATTGTTGCATGTTGGTGGGGGGATATTGTCTGTAGGTTGGGGGATAATGTCTGTAGGTTGGGGGATATTGTCTGTAGGTTGGGGATATTGTCTGTAGGTTGGTGGATATTGTCTGTAGGTTGGGGATATTGTCTGTAGGTTGGGGGATATTCTGTAGGTTGGGGGATATTGTCTGTAGGTCGGGATATTGTCTGTAGGTTGGGGGATATTCTGTAGGTTTGGGATATTGTCTGTAGGTTGGGGATATTGTCTGTAGGTTGGGGATATTGTCTGTAGGTTGGGGATATTGTGTCTGTAGGTTGTCTGTAGGTTGGGGATATTGTCTGCAGGTTGGGGATATTGTCTGTAGGTTGGGGATAATGTCTGTAGGTTGGGGATATTTCTGTAGGTTTGGGATATTGTGGAGGATTGTTGGTTGGGGATATTGTTTGTAGGTTGGGATGTGGTGTCTGTAGGATGTTGTTTTGGAGGATATAGGTTTATTATTGTTTATTGGTTATAAGATTTTGGTTGGAGGATATTGTTTGCGGGTTGTAAGATGTGGGGTGTAGGATATTGTTTGTTGGTTTCAGGATATGTTTTTTAGAATGTGGGTGACAGAATGTCTTTTGGAGGATATTGTTTGTTGGTTGCAGGGTTGTAGAATTGTGATTGTAGATTTTACTGGGTAGATCTTGCTGTGTGTTATGGGTAGATGATTATTTTAGTAGGATGTGTGCAAATGTACAATCCTAACAAGTTCAGATAATTATCTCCCTGGTTTGAAAATAGACATCTTGTCATGTTTCTCTGCAGTTCAAGGTTCAAGGATGAACATCTTCCGGTTTCCTGAAGCATATTCCAGAATTCATATCCTCTGTTGTACTACTATTATTATACTGTTTTTACTATCAGATAATGAATGGTCATTCATTTCAGGACTTCATGGCAACATATCCAGGGGAAGTGTTGGTGGATGATAATATGATCACTGAGACCCTGACAACAGTCCGGCAGGAGCTCGAGGTCATGCTGAAGGCCAAGGAGAAGGGTGTGGAGGTAGGTTTGTCATTAGTACCTATCTGTAGTGTGAGTTTAGTTTTACGCCGCATTCAGCAATGTTCCAGCTATATGGCGGCGGTATGTAAATAATCAAGTCTGGACCAGACAATCCAGTGATCAACAGTATGAACATCGATCTACACAATTGGGATATGATGACATGTGTCAACCAACTCAACCAAGTCAGTGAGCCTGACCACCCGATCCCATTCTTACGACAAGCATGGGTTGCTGAAGATCAATTCTATCTGTAAGTCAGGTACCTATCTGTAAGTCAGGAGGTTTAGGTAGGTTTGTCATCAGTACCTGTAAGTCAGGAGGTTGAGATATAATAATTTTATTCAAAATTTCTTTCAATATTGCATACAATTAAACACATGGAAATCATGTGTGAGGTTAGGAAATCATTGTCGATGCACCAAATGACCATTATTTACAGCAACCATAGTCAGATAATAATTACTGTTGCCTTCAAATGAACTTTAGTTGACAGAGAATGGATGCATTTATCATAAATGCCACACTTTGAATTGTGAATGACCATATTTATTTGTCCAAGTTTGACTATAATATATACTCAAGAAAATATGGTAAGAAGGGATATTTTGCAGAATTTCTGCAGATATTAAATACTTGTGCTTTTAGGTCATTTAGCCTTAGCTTTCTTAGGTTTAGTCTGGTTAATCTGAATACATTATCGACATGGATATATCTAAACTTATAGATAAATCTATAAGGGGTATCATTGTTTCTACCACATACCAAAAATGGTTTTGGAAACCAACAGGACGTAATGGACAAGCAACACAGGATAGTAAGGACAGGACACACAGACTAGACATGTAGAGCAAGGGACAGCCTATGATTGGATAGTGATATCCAAATTATCTTGCCTCACACGTAAATGTCGTTTTCTGATTGGCTGAGCACTCTCCTATTATTTTCAATGTACCCCGCTTACAAGCGAGTAACATTTTCTATGTACCCCGCTGGGAATGCCGAACCCATTTGTTACTTCGTGGTAGAAATTTTGATCTTGAATAACATTGAATCACACGTATGATCTACGGAAATTACTGATGTTTTGCAAATGCAAATCGATGGAAGGGAGATAATTCTAAGTTTGTTTTTCCTGTCGTCTTGTAGCCTGGTACTCCATACTATGATCCGATACCCGTGCTTCAAACAGTTCAAAATTACAACTGAGGTGTTCGGTAAAATAAATTGTTCACTGGTCCCTTGGGGGCCCATGGGCTGATGTACCCTTGATGTTTCTTTTTGTTCTTAAACAAAAACACACAACAAGGGTACATCAGCCCATGTCCCCCTTGAGACCAGTGTACAACTTGTAATCTTTTCTTACAACAGATACAATGTTACAACCACTCAAACTAATTAAGCACTTGAGTTCAAGTCATAGTGCTCTATAGCAGTGTGCAAAATAGCCACTGGCCTGCTAGCCTGTGGCTAGTAAAAATCCAGTCAGGCCAGTAAATCCCCACAGTCACTGGGCCGACTGGCTAGTGAATTTTCATTGGGTCATCAAATAAATATATTACTCTATCCGACTTGTTAAGTTATAATACACTTTTAAATCATGCAAGATTATGGCCTGATAAAAATGTTCATCATATCAGCAGCTTAATGATGAAACCTGTGTCATGCAGACAATATCTTATTCTCAAAGACATGTACCTATTTGTAATCTTTTGCTTAGTTTCTACATTCAAATTTCAGGCTAGTGAATTATTTTGTGGGCTAGTAACTTTCAGGCATAGCTAGCCCTACTGGCTAGCAAAATCTTGAAACTATTTCGCACACTGCTCTATAGCCATACACCGCTTTAGTGTTTATAATGATTTGACTTTTGTGTTTGTCATTGTGGCAAAGTTATAAAATATATTTGTTGGATTAGGAGCCATGGTAGTTGAGGCAAGATAATCTCTTGTTGTGCAAGAAACTAGGAGTCATGGGTTCGAATCTCTGACTGATAATGTGTTTTGGTTTGTCAGCACCATGTTGATGGAAAAGCTTTATTCAAAGTGGTAAATTCAAATTCAATGCATAACTTTGGGCTTTCTTTTCACATTAACCAAGTAGTTTTATGCCTCTTTTAGCAATATTCTAGCAATATCACGGCAGGGGAAACCAAAAATGGGCTTTGCACATTGTACCCATATGGGAAATCAAACAGATATTGTGTTGGGTTGTTGGGTTGTTGTTGTTGTTGTGTTGATGTTTACGTCAGCTTCTAACTGTTAAGGTGATGTCGCTGGATGTCATATCTAAAGCCATGAGTGAGGGAATAAAATTTTGAATGGATATGGATATCCAAGTAATAACTGGGTATTTAGTTCAAGTTTCGAATATAGTAATGATTTTGAGATAAGCCAATTTGGAGTAAGTGGGGATAAGTAAATTACTGAAATACAGAAATAAGTAAATGCTGACATGAAACAATAGTAATGAAGCTTGCTTTTCTTTTTAGTCTCACCTTATATAAGGATATTGAAACAAAATGTGAACCATGTACATGTGATATATGCAGATGAAGATGACCTGTAAATTGTTAATGGAACTTGACATTAACATGAATATCTTATCAATGTGTTCACGTGAATAGCTATGCCTTGTTTTCGTTTCTGACTTTTTCAAGACGGACATAAACATGAAAACAAGGTTGGGGAAGAAATAGCCTAGCTAGGCCAGAATCTCCCCCTTTTGATATAAGAAAAAGGGTTTGAAACAGGTAGCCTTAAAAAGTTGATTCAAGGGTGGGAAAAATTTGGCCAAGGACAAACTTTCCCTGGGGAAGATTAAGCCTAGGGGGGGTAGGGGGGGAAGTTTGGCCTAGGCTAAAGTTTCTGTGGGGAAGCCAAAATTACCCCCGGGGAAGGTTTGGCCAGGGGAAAAGTTTGGCCTGTTACACTGGGTCTTTGGTGTAATGAGCAAAAGCTTTAACCACTAGGCTACCCCACCGCCCATCAAGCTGACATGGTATGGTCTTACGTTGTTTAAACTTATGCAAAACCAAACTGACCCTCTTGCTGTGTCCTGAATCCAAGGATGTCAGTAGCAGATGGTGAATATGTTGTCAAGTTACTTGTCTGACTGTGACACTGTCACTTGCTTAACCTTCATGGTCGTGTGGATAGAGTGTATATCTGCAGAGCAGAAGGTATGTGGTTTGATCCTGGGTCATCATACCAACAGACATCAAGAGATGGTACTTGTTGTTTCCCTGTGTGGAACTCTGTATAATAATAATAGTCCATTTATATTGCGAATTTATCCATGCACATTGCATGCTCAAGGCGCTGACATATTATCCCTGGTCAACGGGTATAGAACACTCCCTGTGGAGAATACAACCGGTCGCCTGTCAGGCGATCAAGGTTCAAAATCAGACTACCATCGTATCATACCAGGTACCCAATTTTACTGCTGGGTGGACAGAGGCAATTTTCAACACTCCCTTGCCAAAAGTGAGTCCACATGTATCACATGTGCTTTGTTGTTCAGCTGGACTGAAGTTGTAGAAACTGTCAGGAGTCAAGCTGCCAAACTCGTTCACCCATCCAAAGACTCTCCACGCCCAATGTTGCTTAACTTGAACTGATTGTGACCTGAGCTCTGTGCACAGGACCACACACTGCCACAAATGATCTGGGATGTATTAGGAGATAAAACAAGTATTTATCAGCTCAGAGTAATTTTACTGTAAAGAGTAGGGTATCAATGTTAAACTGTGGCATGGTATCTCAGCAGGCTAGCACTATAGAACCAGCAATGGCTCTGACAGGTACAACCAGCAAGTCGCCGTATATGAATTGTTAGTTTGTTTTCTGTTTAACACCACACTCAGCAATATTTCTGCAATATGACAGTGATCTGTTAATAGTCAAGTTCAGAACAGATGATCCCGTGATTAACATCATGAGGATCAATCTACGCAACTGGAATACAAACACGTATCAACCCAATCAATGTGTCTGAATACCCATTCTTGCTCTTTAGCTTTCACAACAAGCTTTGGTTGCTGAAGATCATTTCTAGCCCAGATCTTCATGGGTTATGAAACGTAAGAGAAGAGCAATAATCCTTAATGTGACATTAAACCTCTTTCACCCCAACATGGTTTAAAATATCTTCTATAGTGCTGTATGGTAGATGTATATGGGAAGTATCATATTCTGCAGGAATGATGTGATCAATGTGTATATATATCCCTACCGTAGCAGAGAGCATGTGACCTAGCATAAAGTCAAACACTTTAACATGACACCTCAAACCATATCAATGTGTTCAAGGACATAAGTGGATAGCAAATGTCAGCCATATCTGAAATTGCCCTAGTGCTGGTCAAACAACTAATCTCATCTATTCTGATCTTCACTGTTTGATAGCTGCATTATTGGTTTAAAAAGCACATGTCTACACATATTGAAACTATTTTTGCCAAAAGCTATGATTTATGTGGACTTTGTTCAAAGAAATACTGAAAAAAATAATTCTGTTAATGTCGAAATCTCTTGCTGGAGGTAGTTTGGCAGATAGTAGCATATGAAGATGGAAGATATCTTGTTAAATTCCCCATGTGCTCCCACACATACTCTGGAAGAATATCCCCACCTATAAAGCATCTATTTTGGCATCTGAACATTATCTTCTGTGAATACAACACGCTGAAAAACAATTTTGAAGCGTAAAGAGATTGTGTAGGTGTAGGTGCTATGTTCTTACGTCTATTAACACATGGAAAACATGTTTACAGCAACTAAATGGTCATCTGGAATTACCGATTATAGATTTATGACGGAGGAGTATGTGTGCGTTAAATACACTTGACTATAGGCATTTATTTTCAGCGTGTCACCCTTCACGTCATTGATCAGAACAATTGATTTTGCTTTCTGTTTCTGATAACCGTTTAGCTTATACTAAAAAAAATTAAATATACTCATTGAATTTTTTTACATATTTTGAACAAATAAGTT